CTGTTTCTCTCTAATCCTCCCTAAAATGTCTAGTTTGGTCTTGATTTGTTTTTCTCTAATCCTCTTTAAATGTCAGGTTAATTTTAAACAAAGTTCTACATCTTAATTTGTAACTTTACCAACATCTATTACTTTTTATAGATTCATTAGTTACAGCTTACAATCAAAAACATAATTTTTACTATTACTGGCCATACATATAATTGATCAAACAATAAAAACAAAAGCATAAAAGTACCTTAAAGTTTCCTAGTTAAGAACAAAGTAGTAATTCTCTCATGCTAACAATTTCTCAAAACTTCTAATCAAATTCCTACCTCTGTTCCCAAGCTCTCACTGCCCTTGACTGTCTCCTAAACTGCTGTCTAAAGGCCTTAATGTCCTTGACTAAAACTACATGGAATGTTTCTTACAATTTTAAGCTAGAATTGCTAAAACTTTAGCTAGTGTGGTTATTTCTAATGTTAAAACTTAAGGTTAATGTAAAAAAAATTTTTATAACTACGTAAGATTGAATATGGTGTGGAAGTTAATGTTAATGTGAAAGGCAACTATTATAACGTGAGATTTGTTTAAAGTATCTAATGATTATGCAAGATTTTCTAAAACTTCTTATAAGGAAATCAAAAATAAACTATTTTTCCAAGGAAAAGCTAGAAACCACAGGGTCCCTGCATGAATCACCCCTTGTGGCTTTGCCAACCAAGGGGACATTCATTGTCGCTTTGCTAAACAATAAACTTTTCATGCATAAAGCTTCTCACTGTTCTGTTCCTTGGCAGGATGGCGTCCGCCATTTTTTGATGACCTGATTAAATTCTTCTTTTGTTATGGGTCTGTTCACATTTTCTACTTCACTTTGTGTAAGTTCTGGTAGGTCCTATTTTTCTAAAAATGTGTCCATCTCTTCTACGTTTTTGAATTTGTTGGAGTACAACTCTTCATAGTATTCTGTTTTAATCCTTTTGAATTCCTTTGGTTCCATTGTGACATTGCCAGTGTGTTTTCTAATGTGTGTTATTTGTGTCTTCTCCCTCTTTTCTTTTGTTAGGTTTGTCAATGGTCTGTCAATTTTGTTAAAACTTTAAGAGAACCAGATTCTTGTCTTGTTGATTCATTCTATAGTTTTTCTGTTACCTATCTCATTTATTTCTGCTCTAATCTTTATTATTTCTTTTCTTTTGGTGGCTGTAGGTTCCCTCTGTTGGTCTGATTCTAATTGTTGTAAATGCTGTGTTAATGTGTTCATTTTGGTTCTTTCTTCTTTTTGGATGTGTGCA